ATTCAAAATTAAATTGCAAAATGTTGTGTTTTATAATTTTGATTTTTTTCCAAAAATCTGGACGTTTCGGGTAAAAACTCAATTCGGAGTCGTAAACTACATGTTTAGGACTATGTTATTTTATACAATTTAAGACCCATTTACTATGTACAATTTTGAAGTAGTGACGTCATCGCATTAGTGGTGGGGATGATTAGACAAATTTTGGTTAGCGTTTTACCATCTACATGATATTCCTAATATAACTACAAAATTTCACAACAATCGGTCCAGTACTTTCGGAGATTATCTGTCTAATAAAAATCCGGGACGGCAGACAGACGGACAGACGGACAGACAGACGGAAATGGGAGACCTATTTCTTCGTCTTCTAGGGGTCATGAAAGATCGAGAAAACGTAAAAGTAGAGAGTCGGCCGACGGACTCGATTACAATACTTCCTTTGCTTACGCTCGGGAAGTAATAATGTTTTGCTAGCGACGTTTTGTAATTTGTACAGAATTTTTATGTTTAAATTAAGTTATACTTACTTATTATGTTTATTCAATATCATATTATATATTCTGTGCTCAATGTAATCGATACGAATAGATATCTACACGAAATTAATGTGTATATATTACGTAATTTTATGTGATGCTTGGGTTTCATATTAAAGCTTTGATGTGGTACTGTGTTTACTGTATGCAAATCGTTTCCGATTGTTTGGAAACTATTACAAATTCATTTCATGCCACTGCAGAAATGATAGATCGATTTAAGTACCATTTTGTTTATAAGTTGGAAACTACAATCACCGTAGCTGTGCATAATTAACTGTAACAATCTGAGTTGATGCATTTGCGTTCAGGTAGGTGTATTGTAATATATCCACAGGTAAAAAATACACATGGAAAGTCGATTTCAGATGAATCTGCTTCGCGGGTGACTAACAAGTTGGAGTTTACGTTGGTATGAAAGAAATATCCCGCCTCGTCTGTCAAATTTAGGGTTTGAAGTTATAACAATAGAATCATATTTACTTCAATTCTACTTAGACGACGCTTTATTGTGTTGCAACTGAATACATGCACCAAAATATTTGCAAGTTGTAAACTAAAAAAAACAGTGGTGGCTCGTGACCTTTTGAAATGGGGGGGACACAATTTGATCGATGAGTTAAATATGAAGATAAACAGGCTGTTATTACCAATTAATAGACGAAATTGTTATACGAAAATAAATACAAAAAAATTAGTCTAAAGAGTTTAGACAGTACTTCCCTCGCTGTCGGGAACGTGACGACTGCAAGCCTATTTCTTTTTTCGTATTACATTTTTGTAATTCTTGATTTAATCAATAAAATTAATTGACTCAGTCATTAGTTTATTTCAGACACCCTGTATAAGCAAATCTAAAAAATATTAATGCAGTGATAAATCACAAGTATAGACTCATCACTCATCATTTTTTACACATTTAAGCATAATACATTTTGATCAAAATTTTACCATGCTTATGATAAATTTAAAACATCTCCAAGATTTCAAAGCATTCGGTTTTGTAGTTCCTGATTAATTCAATAAACTAAATTCACACATTCATTAATTTTTTTGAGTCACCCTGTATATGCAAATCCAAAAAATATGAATGGAATGATAAATCACAACTACAGACTCATCATATTTTGCACATTTAACATAGGATTTATACAGCAAAATTTTGAGGTGACGTCATCAATTTTTTAGAGGGGATGTGTAAATACATTTTGACTATAAATTTATGATGCCTATGATAACTTTAAAACATCTCCAAGATTTCAAAGCATTCGGTTTTTTAGTTCCTAATTAAATCAATAAAATAGATTCAGGCATTCATTAATTTTTTTGAGTCACCCTGTATATGCAAATCCAAAAAAAAATGAACGGAATGATAAATCACAAGTACAGACTCATCATATTTTGTACATTTTAGATAGGATTTATTTGGCAAACTTTTGAGCTGACGTCATCAATTTTTTGGAGGGGATAAGTAAATATATTTTGACTAAAAATTGATCATGCTTATCATAACTTTACAACACCTGCAAGATTTATTCGGCTTTGCGGATTCAAAATTAAATTGCAAAATGTTGTTTTATAATTTTGATTTTTTTTTCAAAAATCTGAATGTCTCGGGTGAAAAATCAACACAGAATCATAAACTACATGTGCAGGATTATGTTATTTAATACAATTTACTATGTACAATTTTAAAGTGACGGCAACACATTATTGGTGCGATTGATCAGACAAAATTTAGTTAGCATTTTACAATCTACATGATATTCATAAGACACATATAGAATCTGACAACAATACAACAATAGTTTCGGAGATTATCTGTCTAATAAAAATCCGGACAAACGGCAGGCAGACAGACGGACGGACGTTGTTTTTAACGAGTTCTTTTCATTTGAGAAAATAAGCTATTTTTGTTATATTCTTATTATATATTCATAGTATTATATTGTTAAAATGCCCAAAAAGTGATTATGGGTTATGGCGAATTCGGTTAACACGAATTGGTCAAAATCCTGATCCCGACGTGTTCGTGTTAGCGAGGGTTTACTGTAATTACACTAAAAGTAGAGTATTGTAATCGAGTCCATCGGGAGGCGACTAACTACTTTTATGTTTTCTCGACGTTTCATTCATGACCCATAAAGTACGAAAAATTAAATCTCGTGTTTCAGTCTATCTGCCGTCTGTCTCCAAAATCATCGGACCGATTGTTGTCAAATTTCTCCCGATCAATGTGATGACATCTCAAAATTTTTCATAGTAGAAAGATTCAAATTTTATAAAATACATACTCCTGTATTTGTTTTATTGATCAAATTTCTAGAACGGTACACTTCAGTGTTATTTGTAGTATTAAACTCGTCAATACGTACAAGCACTTTCTTGCCCTTTATCATTGTATTTATATTTCTGGAGCAATTGTTAATCCAGTTCCTGTTATGCTTTGACGACAACGTCACTCCAGAGTTGCCGACCAAATATAAACAAGTGTGTTTTCGTAACATGTGTTAGAATGGCTGACAGTGGTCAGTATATATAGGTATAGGTGATTAAAGCATGATACATTAATGAATTCAAAAAAACACTCCACAAAAATCTCTAAATAATTTATAGCGTGTCATTAAAAAATCAGTGATATGTGGTAAGCCACAAAAAAAAGTATAAGGTGTCAAAACAAATGTATATGATGTCATTTACTGTTATCGGTATTACTTATCTATATTTATTTTACTGTTTAGATGTTAGCACGAATAAACATTTGCAAAATCACTCTTTTAATTTTTCAAAGAAGCGGGATTTGTTGAACAGTACGTCAAGGGCGAGGGAAGACCTGTCGAAATAACCTTCGACCAATTTTTTTCTGGTGCAACACACTCAAGAATACTTTGCACCACCCGCCACTGGATGGGACAAAAACTTGTTAACAACAACGCAACGCAAACAATGAAATCATTGGGTTATGGAAAAATGTCGATTTTAGATATTTCACAACAAAAACTTTGATTTAGTTTTTACTGAAAAGCCTGCATTTCAGTGCAACATTTCCGCCTGTCCCTCTGTCTGTCTGTCCGGCGTCTGTGTCGCTTTTTATTAGACATGTAATCTCCGATCTGGATCGATTGTTGTCAAATTTTGCATTTATATTAGGAATACCATGTAGATGGAAAACGCTTGTCAAAATTTGGGTAATCATTTCCACCACCAAGAGGATGACGTCTTCTCCAAAATTTACAATATTTTTTTTAATCTTATAAGATAAGATACTCCTTCACTTGTGACATATAAATCCGTGTTGAATTTTCACCCTAGACATCGAGATTTTCGAGAAAAAAAAATTCAAAATTGCAATTTAACTTTGAAACTTCAAAACCGAATGCTCTGAAAGTCTGTAAACGTTCTAAGGTTGTCGTAATCATAGTGAATCGTTTCTTAAAATTTAGTCGTTTATTCCCTCCGAAAAAATTGATGACGTCATTGAAAATTATACCTAATAAATCCTACTTCAAATATGCAAAATATTATTACTCTATACTTGCAGTTTATCAATGCACTCATAATTTTTAGAGTTACTTATACAGGTGACACAAAAAAATGAAACAATGTAAAATCTGGGAATACAGTATCTAATTTTATTATTAGTATTACACTGTATCTATCCAAATTTATATTTGTGTCCTTACAAAAATGTTAATGACGTCATCACAAAATTTTGTAATGGAAAAACTCACTTGAAACAAATACATAGCACGCTGTTTTACCTTTACTTTAGCATTATTTTGACTTGTAAGTATGTATTAGCATAAAAAAAGAAATTCAGAAAATCAAAGCTTGCAATTTTTCGTAAAAGCTGGATTTGTTCTAGCCACTATAAAACGTGTTTCTTTTATTTGATAGACCCTGAATTTTTTTTATTTTAAAGATAAACATATAGTTCTTTGAGCACACCTGTTTGTATCATTTTAAAAGATCACTTATGTGAATAAAAGACATGAGTGTTAATTTTTCAAGCTACTAGATTGTCATCAATAAATATGAATTTTTCGTCTATTTCATTGAATAACTTTTTCGGTATTGATTTTAGAATATTGGTTGCTTTTGATTTTTAGAAAAAATCACAAGCAACACACAAGGTATATTTTTTCCATTCATGAAAAAATATACCTTGTGTTCCATAAAAAAAAATAAACTTGACATTATTTGCGGTTCTAGCGGAAGTGACAATAAAAATGTGGGTTGTCATCACATATATCTTTTAAAATGATATGAATTTGCTTAAAGAACTACAGGTTTATTTATAAGAATAAAAATACCGGGGTTATGTCAAGTAAAAGAAACACCCTGTATTTTACGTGCGAAGGAAGTTCTCTCGAAATAACCTTCGACCAATTTTTCATGTTGGTTTACTATGTTGTTTTTGTACTTACGTAAAAGATTACTGTTAACCTCTAGTGACATTACCTTTTGAGCTTTACACATAATAGCAAGTGCTTGAACGTCGTGTGATGCATGCCTGGAATCCATCAGACACAAAGCACACACACCAATTTTGCAAACTAAACAATACATATTTAGGGTCTCTTCCGCATGGTCGATGCATTTTCCGTCTTGACTCCTGACCGTAATCGCAGAGCATCGTTTCGGTTCGCTGAGTACATGTTTAGCTAGTGGCCCTCTAGCCGGATGGCAAGATTCTCTGCAGTCCTCGCAGTAAAGGACTTCGCATTGTTCGCACATGACGGTAGCCTCCTTGGCTGGCTCGGTCTCACACATCTGACATTTGAGTGTCAAGTTCTTCAGCTCACTGTACCTGTCTACAATAGCCTGCATGACTCTGTACTTAGGCAGGTTATGGGCCCCGTTCTCATCGAAGTAGACCAACTTCTGGCAGAGGGGGCAGGTGAGGCTGAGGGCAGTGGGAAAAAGAAGGCCGTTGGGGGTGCCCACGTAGCTATTGGGGCGCGACGTGCACACTACACCACTGTCCGCTTCACTCAAAATCGACAACTTGTCACTTTCTTGGTAGTCGCCCGAACTACCGGACGCCACGCTTTCAGCATTTTCAGAGGAACTCGTCGATGCTGCATTATTTTGAGCAGGTTGTTGCAGGAGCACAGCACAACTGAGACAAAGGGCATGATAGCACGGCAGCAAAACAGGGTTATTAAAGAACTGTTTACAAGACGGACAACGCAACTCCTCCTCCATCGCACACTACACTCCACTGACGGGTCACAGGCGGCGTCGCCCATGTACCGGTTGTTTCAAAACACGCGGCGAACGCTCCACGAAAACGACCGAATCTGAACGACGTTTTGTTTTGTTGCTGTGATTACTGATTATTATTGTTAGCTGATTCGCTGCAAACGAAGATGAGACGGGAGGACATAAATTTTTCGGTCGATTTTTTTTACATTTTATTCGTGTTCGTAATCACGGCCACTGAAGAAATTATTCATTCTGTGGTAGAGCTTTACATTTTTTACATACAACATATTATTCTTGTAGATGCTGTACATCAGGGGCGGCTCATGACTTGAAAAGTTGATGAGGCAAAGCACAATACGCTCCAAAATATAAATAAATCAAGATTACTTAAATATTTTCTACTTGGTCAAATAAACAAATTTGTAAACTCATTTAACTGTCCACCAAGAACCAACGTGAAGGTGTAAGGAAGTCTTGTAAGGAAAGGATGGGAATGACAGGACAAAAAGAAAGGGAAACGTGGTCAGAAAAAACTAATATAACTTAAAAAAAAAACAAAATTAAAATAAACTTAATAAAATATAAACTAGAAAATATATCGAAAAAAATCAAATACAACATAAACTAAACCTAATTTGATTTATAACAAAAAACAAAACGAAAAACATATAAAACATAAATACTCTGGATTTATTTTAAACTTTTTTATAGATCAATTAACGATTTACTCAAATCAGGAACCGGCCGTTTTTATTCCTTAACTACATACAATTTATCATCATACGTGAAAGTAGAAAAAACAGAACTGCTATTGTCATTTAACGTTAGTAGAGAAAAATTCCGATTTACTCGTAATCTTAAATGACGATTACCGAAATCAAATTATGACAAGCACAAAGCACTAACGCGACACACGCAAACGTAGGCACTTTTAAGACAAAATTCTGTTACCGAAATTTTGAATCAATTTATACACACACAGATTTGTGGCAAAACAATCAACGGCCTAATTTTGAATACTTCTGCAAATGCAGACTGCATTGTAATCGCACGTTCTCCGCGCGCAAATATTGTTGTCTATCTCTTTTGCAAGCACGGAAATGAGGCTAGCCTCAATTTTGTCTTTTTTCAACTCATACCGCTTATGAGTGTATTGCAGGTTGCTTGCCTATTAACGATATGATTTCTATATCCGCTGTAGAGGCAAGCTTCGAGTTTGCCTCATTCGCGTCACAAAATACATGTTGTGTCGAGTGTTCAGCGCGCTGTTTAATTAAGGGAGCAACGAGTACTTACTGAGATAAAAATAAGAATATAATTTTCCATATTTATTTTTAAAATTTTAGAAAAAAGACACAAATTATTGGCCGAAATGTGTCGTTAAAAAATAGTAAAAATCCTAATAAGGCGTAAAATTCATTGGTGAGGCACTGCCTCACCTGCCTCATAGGACAAGCCTGCCCCTGCTGTACATATTTTTTCAAACGTCATGAGGGCGAAAATAACTTCTAACAATTTGTAATAGCAGCCACATTAATGATATTAATAATATTGTTACTATTATTAATATTATTATTAAGACCCACCACGGATCGGAAATGACCGACACTCAGACAAGACTTCTATCGTTATGGGTATGATATGCATTGATTCGATTAGTAAAAAACTTTTAAGATCCTAGAACTACAGCATACAAACTCGTTTGCTATTATTTTCTAATCTCACCCTATCCCCAAGAACGTAGCGTAACTACCGATGAAATGATCGAGAAACTTACGAAAAATATGATGTGTTCCTAACAAAACAGCTTCTTGGATTTTGACAATTATTGAATCATTTAAATCTAAATATTGCAAATTCTCAAGTAAACTGTTTAGTACTACGCCTACATTGGCGTTAACTAAAAATAGAATTGAAATTTTCTCAAGATTTAACACTACCTTCATTTCTATTTGAAAGATTCCTCTTCTGATCATCATTGGTCCTGAATGAATTGTTTGATCATTTATTAAGGTTATTTGAAGGCTGGTTTTCCAAAATTCCATAGAATATTTGAGAAGAGCACATACTTCTGGCTCAACTTTGTATAATTACAGAATTTTGTATAGTCACGAATGCGGGACTAAATCATAAGCTTTCTTATTAATCAATAAAAACAGCATATAATGATGTTTCTATTTTCTTTCCTAACTTGTTCACAGATGATAAACTCTATGATTAATTGCTCTTTGCAACCAAAGGATCCTTTAAAACCTACATCCTTTTTATTCTTCATTGATAATATCAAATTTAAAACAGTGTTGACAGATTTTTTGTGTCATACACGAAGTTAGTATTTTGTAAATTGTAAGTAAAGAAGTCATGGATTTGTTGTGTCATCATTTTTAACTGGTTTAATAAGTCTTTTGGTAAAAGAGTGTGTACACAATTGAATTTTTTGATCCAAAAATTTTGTATTTTGTCTGATCCTGGTGATTTTCTGTTTGTGTTTTATTGATGCCATTCATCAATTCGTCAAGTGTCATTTGATTATCATTCACTGATGTAACTGTGGATAGTTTATTGGATATGTGAGGAATCCTTGAGATCAAGGTTTTGACCAGAAAGTTGTTAAATCCTGTGAACTTGGAAGTCTACCAGTTAACTGAGTTTTTTCTGTATTAGTTTCTTTTGCGTCTTTTGGCATATAGATTAAGTTTCTGTAATAAAGTGTCTTTAATTTGTAATAGTGTTGTGTTTTATTTGGTGGAACGACATTGAAATATTAGGTATACGAAAAAGATGGTTTAAGCGTCGTTTCGAAAATTAAAAAATTGACGGAACTTCACGTTCACCCTCAGGGAAAAATCTTCTTTAGTTACTCAAGTTTTTAGTAAAAACAACAAAACTAAAGACGCTTGGTTTTAAATATTTTTCAACCAGCTCGATTCAGCAAGATCCCCTGGAGAATTTTTTTGGAAAAATACGTAGCTTGTGTGCTGACAACACTAAAGGTACCTTAATTCAATTTCTTGCAGCGTATAAAGAGTGCATACTCCACAGTAAAATACCAAACTCTGATAAAAGTAATTGTCAGGGGCGACTGGTGCCAAAATTACAACGTCTACAAACACACTGGACTTAAATTAGCAAAATAGTAATTTTCAATATTTAAGGCTACATCAGAGGGTATTCGAATACGGACGTAAACGGACATTTTACCGATTCGTTTTTTAAGCTTATTATTAAACTTGAAAATCAGCTTGAGGTGGTAATTAATAGAAAATATAATATTCTAATGCGCACCGCGAAGAATTTTTTAAAAAAGGCAATAATTTGCTCCAAATGAATTAAAATAATAAAAGCAAAGAAGTCACTTATCTAAGTCCTCAGTTACATTATACAGATCAGCGTTAGCTTATCTTACACAGAGCTGCATGTTAACAGGCGCACTGCGACATTTTTTGCGAAAAAATTAATGGTTTATTAATTAACTCAATTAATAAAATCTATCATTTAGGCAACTTGTTATACACATCGGCCAAACCTTGCAAGTGATTTATGATGGCCCAGCAGGCGGCATAGTGCTTAGTACTACCCTCATTAAAGGATTTAGGAGTTGCTATTGCCCCTATTGCTTGCAAATGGCTTGAAGAAACACAACAGAATGTATTTATTTTTACTGTGTAGAAAAAATATATATGAATTTCATATTTCAACCTGAGAGTGTGATGAACTGAAGACTGATGACTGGTAAAATAGGCATAATAAGTAGGAATAGACGCAATGATGTGAAGTGAAAGTCACATATAAAAAAAGATTTAATAATACAGTCCATACATCCGGAAAAAACGTTCGGGCAGGTCAACTTTTTTTATCGAAGACATTTCTGACATAATTTCAACATTCTTGAATATATGACGTCAGACTATTGACGTGATATATTTTTTCCTTTTTTCTGACATATTATTGAGGAGAGGGAAAAACTAGACACGAAAAACACCAAATGTTTGGCATTTGTTTATGCATTGTTACAAATAAAAACTACTACCTAAAATTTGGAAACATTTCGATAAAGATATTAGGAGAAATAAATGGGAAAAAAAAATAAAAGATGAGATTTTGCAGAGGTAGGTCCGACTCTGACAAGCCGACACCACAATAGTAATTTCATTTCACTGAACGTACGGCTTCATTATTTCGTACTTCTTTTTTCATTCGTTACCAAGAGTATAGGCGCTATACTTACACCTAATGTCTTTCGACGCCTTGATACTGATTGCTCAATGGTACACAATGCATGTGATTTAGTTCAAACTATTAGATATACAGGGACATTTTTTTTAACTCTGAACATATACCGTAAATGGCCTATGTTCAGTTTTAAAAAACACACATCAATGCATTGGTAACTATGCAACCAACATTACGCATATCCGCTACCATGCCGCCTAGAAAATGAAGGTGGTCACTTCGAGTATTTATTAAAGTAAATTCGTACTTCTTTCTGTTAGTAAATAAATTTCACAAGTTCGTTAATCGTGTTTACTTGAGTCTGCTTGAATGTTGAATGATACTAATGACAGCACAATGGTTTGCAAGTTACAACACCATTTTGTAATAAAGCGTAGTTATGCAACCAATATTACACGTGTTGATGTGTGTTTTTTAAAATTGAACATAGGCCATGTATACGGTCTATGTTCAGAGTTAAAAAAATATCTCTGTATAATAAACCCATCAATAAGGTGAAAACCTGAACTCGATTTAATCCACACCTCACTCTGTCTTCGCATACATTTCAAGGGGAAAAAACAAGTGTCAGACTAAATCTTTCCGTAAGATATAAAACATTACACATTTTGTTTTGCCAAGTATCATCATTTGTTTCGATGGTAATGGTGACGAAATTTTTAAATGTATATACCACAAAGTAACAAATGTCTCTTCTTGTAATATGGTACATATAAATATGTTCATCTTTCAACTGTACATTTCCATCTGTATCAAAATAACAATACTGAATTACCTTTTTTTTAATTGATTC